TGTAAACAAGGAGGAAATTATTAAACCTTCTTCAGATCTTCATCCATTCAATGATATTATAGCTGATCTGTGCTTTAACTCCATACAGTCACCATCACCTCCCATCGCTTAAACCATTTGACAAAAATCCATCAATCACAGCCTTAAAATCAAGAATAGATCTAGCCAGAGATAGTGATCTATTTCCTCTCAGAGAAAAGAGATGAAATGTGTGTAAGTTAGAGCAGTTAAGAAAGATGGGGCCCTCCTGCCACCTTTTCAATGCATTTCTCTTCTCTCCAAAGAAAGCATTCTAATTTTCCATTACATACCAGGACAACCTCTTTACAACTCTCTAATATCAGCTGATTCTCGTCTTGTCTCAAACCAATTGATGCAGAAATCTTTGGTCTGTCGATGCCTTGTGTTACCTCTAGACTGGACACCTTCAATCCACACTTAGCAAAGTCCAAAATTCTATTCTTAGAAAACCTGAAGTCCTCCAAAATTCTGCTGCTCCTATCTTAATTCATACCAAGTCCATTCATCATCAGCCCTGTGTTCACTGATCTACATTGGCTCCCAGCTAAGCAGTGTCTTGATTTTAAAATTCTCATCCTTATCTTCAAATCCCTCAGAGGTCTCACCCCTCCCTATCGTCATTCTCTTCTGGCCTACAATCCTGAGATATCTCAAATTCTGATTTCTTGGTAATGATTCATTTAAACATTCCATTATTGTGACTGTGCCTTCAGCTGCCTGGACCCCAAACTCTGGTACCATCCTTCCCTAAACCTCATTGTCACACTTCTCTGCTTCAAGAGGCTCCTTCAGCCCACCTTTTTGATTATACTTTTGGTCACCTGTGCTAATATCCCTATATGGCTTGGTGTGAAATTGATTTATAATTCTCCATGGAAGTGTTCTGGAATGTTTTGTCAAGCTATAAATTAAAGGTGACATATAAAAACAGGCTATTGTTACGAAAGATCCAGCAGACCACCTGGACTTAGTTTCCCTCTCACAAAGTGATCATTCCTCAATGCAGATGGATTCCAACTAATTTCCAGGATCAGGCACAGAACGATCAATGGAATCTATTTTTTTTCCTCCCCTTTGGATTGAAGGGACCAAGATCCATCACAACACCATCATATGGTGAGATTGTCTCAATCAGTATAGAATTTGGGATTTCCCACCTCCCTCTGTAGATGTCGATGCTGCACTGGGCAGTCCCTGTTGCTAACACAGTCATTAGAGGAAGTGAAACCAATGAATGAAGTTTATTCACAGCCCATAATAGCATAGGATTTGATAACTTGTCTTTTTTGACAGCTGAATATTTCAGACAGGTGCCCGAAAAGTAGAGTTTAAGCAAGTGATGTTCACTGCAACTGTATCCTGTGACCTTCCCATGTGGGCCTCAGTCTGAATTCAATCCATTAGCTGGCAACAGTACCCACAATGCAACTGCATTAAACAACCATATTGAACTAAGGACCATGATGAAAATATTAAAAACAGCATCTCAGAAATGTTAAACAGCGTACAGAATCCATGAGGATAACCCTCTGTTTAAAGAATGTCTATTTCCTCCTTGCCTATCTTGACAAGTATTGCCACACCGTTGATTTTAATGTGGCTGTCATGATTCGAACTGCTAAACAATGTAATACTACACAGCATAATTTAAAGTTTTTTTCTAAAGAATGATGACATGTAAACATTTTTGTCAACTGGTGGATGCAGTTTCAGGAATCTCAGTAACTGGGAGGGATAAGTGAGAGGTCTCCCTCCCCCGTCCTTTATTGAGTGATGAAGATGATGGACACTGGTGAATGTTATAGATAAAGGATAGGCTTCAATTGCTAGTCTCCCTTTTCTCTCGTTACCAGGGAGAGGGGAAAGGGAGTGATTTGATTACATAAGCAATTATCATGAGTGAAGGTATGATGGTGGAAACACTTGGATTTGAAGATGGTTTGAAGAAGTTTGTGCCTTGCAAATTATCAAAAAGATTTGCTTTTTTGTTGTCCCACTTATAAAAAATATGAATATGAACTTGACAATGAAAGGAAGACATGCCTATGAGGCATAAAGCATTTGCCACAAAGGTCAAAGGATTTCAAATTTCAAGTTAGTGTTAGAAACTTTTACAGAAAGGCCAATTATAGAATGTTCATTATTCAGCTCCTGAGCTGTAGGTTAGACAGAGAGGAGGGTATTAAATATGGAAAAGATTTTCTGAAGAAAATGAGTTTGTCCATTGAAACATTGCTTTATGGAAATATATGGAAGGTTAAATGATTGTAAGTTTTCCCAAGTATCTATAAAAAATTGAACTGCTAAAATGCTGTATACATAATACAAACCATACATAATATAATCAAGCAACATTTGATGCCTTTGGTTTAAACAAAACAAATTTCCAGCATGTAAAGTGGCAATTGTATCCTTGTGATCTTCCCACGTGGCCCTAAATCCAAATTCAATCCATTACATGACTGGATTAACGGTGTCATTCTGAAATGGCGTTTTGTCAACTGCCGCAGCCCAACCTTTCCATAAGTACAGGCCCAGAGGAGCCTTCTGTTCATCAATTATTCATCATCAAAGACAAATTGGAAATCTCACCAGAACATAAAGAAATAGGACAGGCCAGTTGGCCCGCTTGGTCATTCTAGAAGACCATTGGCAATCTGACTGCAGCATCAACTTCACTTTCCCCCTGTCTCCAATAACTCTGACTTCCCTACTCAATCAAAAATCTGTCCACTCAGTCTTCAATGTATTCATTGACTCTATGTCCACTGCTCTCGAGACAGTGAATTCCCAAGATTAATGACCCTCAGAGAATAAATTTTCTCATCATGTACAGTTTAAATGAGAGAATACCTTATTCTGAAACTGTGCTCCCAAATTCTAGACTCTCCTCCAAAAGCGAAATAGGCTTTCAGCCCCTACCCTGTCAAAGTCCCCTCAGATTCCCACACATTCAATAAGGTCATCTGTCATTTCTCTTAACTGTAATTGGAATGCGCCCATCTTATTCAACTTTGCCTCAAAACACAAATGCTCCATTCCAGGAGTCAACCTAGTGAATCTCATCTGAACTTGCAAGTGTATCCCCTCTTTAAATAACAGCAAAACTACACAATACTGTGGGTCCCATCTCACCAGTATAGCTGCAAAAAGACTTCCCTACTTTTAAGATCCAGTCCCCTTGAAATAAGCACTACAATCGATTTGCCTTCCTAATTACTTGCTGAGACGGAATGCTAACTTTTTAACGATTCATGTGCAAGGACACCCAGATCCCTCTGTACTGCAGCACTCTGCAGTTTCTCTCCACTCTAATAAATTTCTGCTGTTCCCACCAAAGTTGACAAGCTCAAATTTTTCCATGCAACTGTCTGTGGAGTCTGGGTATTCTCCCTGTGCCTGTGTGGGCTTCCTCCAAGTGCTCCAATTTCCTCCCACTGTCCAGGGTTGTCGAGGTTAGGTGGATTGGCCATGGTAAATTGCCCATAGTGTCTAAGACATGCAGGCTAGGTGGATTAGCCATGGGAAATACAGGGTTATGGAAAAAAGGGTGGGGTGTTTGTCTGGGAGGGATGCTCTTCAGCGGGTCAGTGTGGACTCAATGGGCCGAATGGGCTGCTTCCACACTGTAGGGATTCTATGATTCTATGTTATTGTTCTTTCTGTGCACTTGACTGATCTGTAACCCTTTGAACTGGATCCTTCAGTGCAACACCTTCACCTGAGAGAGCACAGATTCCTGGCTCCACTCACTAATTCTCAACTTCAATTTTCTATATTATTCCTGTGTTCCACTGCATTGGTTATAATTTCTGAAAAGTTTACAACATGTATTAAAAGAACAATTCTCTATTTATTATATTCTGTGAGAATCTTGTGCCTAAAATATGTATATTTGCAAACAATTGCTACTTTTTAGTTCGAAAAGCACTGCATCCTCATTGTTAATCTGCTAGAACAGATGTAGGGGATTACAGTGGTGCGTTCTCTCTGATAATGGTCAGAAACAGGTTTCTCTCAATGAGTCATCACACCATCAGGTCCTGCTTGATGCTGTGCTGCCTGGAAATGACTGTCTAGGGTCAGATGACTTCCTACAGGGGCAACAGTAAAAACCAGAGAGTGAGCTAACCTCTCGTGTAATTTTTCACACCTAGTCACCACTTTCAAAAGGGAAGAAATCTACTGCGTTAAAGTTACACTTTACTGTGCTAAAACAGATCACTTTTCTGAAGAAGGTCTAGACCTGAAATGTCAGCTTTCCTGCTCGGCCTGCTGTGTTCATCCAGCTCTACACCTTGTTATCTCACGTCCCTGTTTTTGTTGTTTCTACAATGTAATAATCACCTATTTTACAAAAGGAAGTGCATACAGAAATTTAAACAAACTATCGCTCAAAAAAAAAGGACCAGAATCCAGTTTTCTGTATCTGACCTTGCAAATATTGTGAAACTTTTAAAAATTCATTCACAGGATGAGTGCATCGCTGGCTTGGCAGCATTTATTGCCTATTCCTAATTGCCCAGAGGGCAGCTCAGAGTCAAGCACATTGCTGTGGGTCTGGAGTCACATGTAGACCAGACCAGGTAAGGATGGCAGTTTCCTTCCTTAAAGGACATGACTGAACTAGATTGTTTTTTTTCTGATAATTGACAGTGGATTCATGGTCATCATTAGACCCTTAATTCCAGATTATTTTGTTTTATTGAAATGAATTTCCACCATCTGCCATGGCAGGATTTGACTCTGGGTGGCCAGAACTGTCCATGTCTCAGGGTTAACAGAAACTAGAAACTTGGAAACTAGGAGTAGGTCATTCAGTCCTTTGAGCGTGCTCTGCCATTCAATTATGATCATAGCTGCCCACCCTAATTCTCCTAAAATCCAGTGAATACAGTCTTAACTGATTCAGCCTCTCTTCATACGTTAGTCCTGCCAGCCCAGGAACATTCTTCCTCAGATAAGGAAACTAAAACTGCACACAATACTCCAGGCCTGGTCTCACCAAGGCCCAGTACAATTGTAGCAAGACATTGCTGCTCCTGTACTCGAATTCTCTCACTATGAAGCCCAACAGAGAATTTAGCTCCTTTATTACCTGCTGCACCTGCATGCTTACCATTAGCAACTGGTGCACAAGGACACCCACATCTCATTGCACCTCCCCCTTTCCCAATCTACTAGCATTCAGATAATAATCTGCTTTTTTATTGTTATGACTTAAGTGGATAACCTGACACTCATCCACCTTATACTTAATCTGCTATGCATTTACCTAACTCATAATTTGTCCAAATCACACTGAAGCATCTTTGCATCCCCCTTGCAATACACGCTTTCACCCTGCTTTGTGTGGTCTGCAAACTTGGAGATGTAACATTTAGTTCCCTCATCCAAATAATTAATGTATAGATTGTGAACAGCTGGGTTCAAGCACTGATCCCTGCGGTACCCCACTAATCACTGGCTCAGAAAAATGAAAAACTTCACTCAGAAAATTGACCCATTTTTTCCTACTCTTTGTTTCCTGTCTGCCAACCAGTTCTTTATCTATGTCACTGTCCTCAATCCCATGTACTTTGAATTTTAAATAAATTGCAAACTATTTTTTCAGCTTTGTTTTTTCTGAAAGAAATTGGTCTTTTGCTAGATGCTCAACTGTGATATGGACTGCATTACAATGAGAAAATTGGCAATGAACAACTGGGGAGAGGACAAAATCAGCTGGTATCCCCTGTCTGTTGTCCCAGAATATCTACTTTCTGTGCATCTGTAAAGTAGTGAAACAAGCATTACAGTATCCATCACATTTTGCATTCCCAAAGTGCACACAGTCCTGAGTTCTACAAAGGTTTCTTTTTGACTCCAGGTTCTGTTGATCTGATGATGATAAAATGCGAATCTGAGAGCACTGCAAACAACCTCCATCGCTGCTGTTGCCGCTTGTCACTAACTCCACCTCAAAGAGTTTGTTGGTCGTTCTGTCAGATAATCCCTGAACATTCGATGGGTTATTCGGCACCATAGGACTCTGCAATGACAACATTTTATTTAGCCAACTCCATTTAAAAGTCAGTTAAGAGTTTTACACATTTTGTTGTTTATTCCATTGCTTTCACGGATTGTAATCAAGCACAGGGTACCACATTAGAACTCAGCTCGTACATTTACCATTTGCTGGTTTAGCTGAAATTTCACAGCGAACCTTTTGTCAGCGGCAGCAATACAGTGCATTGTCTCAACATTTTACTGTTCCTACACCATGGTTGATATTCCAATGTCTCAGACAATCTTTTATTATATTCTTTCTATTTACCTTTTTTGAGATGTGTAGTTAAGGAGCTGGAGATATTATGTGATAAACTTACTGTTAAAGTTCCTTTTTTAATTAATCCATGGGATGTGGGGGTCACTGGCTAGTCCATTAATTATTGCCCATCCCTAGTTATCTTTGAGAAGGAAATGGCGAGCTGCTTCTTGAATAGCATAAGTCCTTCAGGTGTAGGGCACCCACAGAAGGATATTTGCAAATATCTTCCCTTCTACTGGGAATAGCAGCATTCAGTTCAGTTCATAACTGTAAACAGGGCTGCTGTAATGCCCCAGTAATGGAGAGTTCAAATCTCAGCTTGTGCGAAAAACAATCTGGAAATTGGAAGCTAACATCAGAAAAACAGTGACAAAGAAGTCCCAGGCTATCTTAAAAATAGTAACTGGCTAACTGACATCCTTTCAGGTAACCAGTCTGGTGAGTCCAGTTTCATACTGTGTGACTGACCCCTAACTGCCCTCTGCAGTGGTCTGAGGATGGCAGCGGTACCTCTGCAAGAACAGAGTTGTATATCTCTTCTCCTGAAGGGGTGACGTCTCCTGGTGACCACTGTCTACACCTCGTATGGATGGTCACTTCATAGAAGTCTATTGAGGATCTGCAGAGGTCATTTGATCATCTATGATCCTGATCCAGTTTTATCTCCATTGTCCTCACTGACACCTTCAGCAGACCATTCAGGACTGAACTTATTTCTTTCTTAATAATAAGGACCCTCACTCCCAGCCTGTTATACAAGATGAGGTCCTGAAGAGGTTAATGCTAATGCTGCTTTGGTTCCATCCATCCTACTGATGGCACAGGCAGTTAGTGAGGGGAGACAGGGAGTTCTTCTCTGTCTTTCAGAGGGACTAGATGGATCAGCACATGCCTCGGACAGTCCTAGTTATTATAACCAACTAAACGGAGTTGTATTTATTGATGTCCAGTTCTGTGCTTGTAATCAAGCACAGGGTACCATATTAGAACTCAGCTCGTACATTTACCATTTGCTGGTTTAGCTGAAATTTCACAGCGAACCTTTTGTCGGTGGCAGCAGATCCAGTTCTGAGGAAGGGTCACCGGACCCGAAACGTTAACTCTGTTTTCTCCTCCACAGGTGCTGCGAGACCTGCTGAGCTTTTCCAGCAACTTTGTTTTTGTTGTATTTATTGCCATCATGCAACGATCCTTCTCTAAATCCAAGAACAGTGCCTCTCCTGTAGATATTCTACAGTGACGGATATCCGATGCCAATAATCTCTAGAGAGGTCCAAGACAAAGCAAGGACAAAGGAGCAACCACCTCGCGCAGTCCATACCCAGTAGCACACACCAGCAAAGGTGGGAAATACCGTAATGTATCATGAGCAGTCATCTGAAAAAATACCACAGCAGCAACCCATCACCAGTGCTGCAGCACCCACCATCTCCCCCCATGTTCTGGCACACCCCCTCACAATCTCCTGCAGCCATATCCCCAACCACCCCCACACAACACACTCCTGCACCCCGACCCCAATGTGCTGTAACACCTTCTCAAAGCACCTCTGCACCCAACCCTCTAACATGCTCCATCACCCACCCCCACAATATCCCCGAGTGGGGAATGTACAATAATTAAGCCAGAAACCAACAGCATGTGGATTGCCTTGTTGTTATATCCTTTGGGTATTTGGGGACATTAACTGATATAAAAATTGTGGGGTTTCAGATATTATCTCCAAATGAACTTTATACCACCGATCATTCTACCTCTGTACATCTGAAAAGGAGCTCTGTTTAATAAACTAGTGAGCCACTGAAAGGAGGTAACTGTCATATTTCTAAGTTACAGCTTTTTGCTAGAACAGACTGCAAAGTGTTCCACTTTTTTGTGAAATGTTCCTCTTTGATCCAGTACAGAAGAGGGTTTCCCCAGAAAATGTTTTCAGAATATGCACATGGAATTGAGGGAAACTTGGCGAGATGGGTCAGAAACTGACTTAGCAATAGGACACAAAGGGTAGTGGTGGAAGGTTGTTTGAGTGTCTGGAGGCTGATGTCTAGTGGTGTACCTCAAGGATCAGTACTGGGACCCTTAATGTTTGTTATATACATAAATGATACAGATGAAAATGTGGGGAATGTTAAATAAATTTGCAGATGACACCAAGATTGAAAGCATGGTTAAAAGTGAAGTTTATAAAATCATGAGCAGTATATTCAAGATTAATGGTAGTTGCCTTTTCCCTAGGATGGGGGATTTCAAGACTAGGGGGCACATTTTTAAGGTGAGGAATGTGGAGCAAATTTCTTATACAGAGAGTGGTTTGCATGTGGAATGAACTTCCTGAGGAAGTGGTGGATGCGGGTACAATTACAACAAGTACATGAATAGAAAAGGTTTGGAGGGATCTGGGCCAGGAGCAGGCAGATGGGACCAGTTTAGTTTGGGATGGATTAGTTGGGTCTGTTTCCGTGCTGTATGACTGTATGACTGTGACTCTATAAGATGGTTGTAGGTTATAGAAAGATATAGTTGAGTTGGTCAGATGGGACAGACCAGTGGCAGATTGTTGTTAACCCTGATAAGGGCGAAGTGATACACTTTGGAAGAAGAAAGAAGATGAGGGAGTATTTAATGAATGGCAGGACACTGGGTAGCCTAGAGAAACAAAGGTTTTGGGGTAATTATTCACAGATCCCTGAATGGGATAGTTAAGGTGGCATATGGGACACTTGCTTTCATCAGTCAATCCCTACAGCATGCAAGCAGGCCATTCAGCCCATCAAGTCCACACCATTCCCTCCGAAGTGCGTCCCACCCAGACCCACCCCTACCCTTTCCCTGCATTTCCCATACTAGACACTACGGGCAATTTAGTATGGCTGATCCACCTAACCCACACATCTTTGCACTGTGGGAGGAAACTGGAGCACCTGGAGGAAACCCACGAAGACACGGGGAGCATGTGCCAATTCCACATGGTCACCTGAAGTTGGAATCGAACCTAGGTCTCTGGCGCTGTGATGCAGCAATGCTAACCACTGAGCCACCGTGCTGTGTCGGTGCAGACTTGACGAGCTGAAGAGCCTTTTCTATACTGTATGAATCTGTGAATAAACTCCCTTTTCTGCATCACAAATGATGCTAAGGACCCGCAGAATGGTTACAGCACAGAAATGGCCATTTCGCCCCCTCACTCTGTGCCAGCTCCCTGTAAGACAAACTCTCCCGTTTGCGCTTGCCTCCCATTTCACTGTAGTCCTGAAATTGTTTTCTCTTTAGATAATTATCAAATTCATTTCTGATGGCCTTGACTGAACCTCCCTCTCAGACAGTACATTCTAGACACTAACTACTCACATGAACCTGCCTCCACTACACACTCAGACAGTCCATTCCAAACCCTAACCACTTGAGTGAGCCACTTTATTGCAACTTGCTTTCCTACTTATTTTAGTGTCACGTAAATTTAACTATAGTACTCTTTAACCCTACATCCAAGTCATTAGTAAAGTTTGTAAACAGTTGAGGTCCAAGGACTGAACCCTGTGACACTCCATTAGTTACAACTTGCCAATCAGAAAACAATCTATTTATCTCGATGTTCTGCTTTCTGTTGGTTAGTCAATCCACTATTCAAGCTAATAAATGATTTCTAACCCCATGTGATTTTATCTTGTATATTAACCCTTTATGCGGCACCTTATCAAATACCTTCTGGAAGTTCAGGTATCCTACATCTGTAAGATCCCCAGTAGTCACTTCACGTCAATATTCACCAGGAGAAGGACATGGATGATGGCAAGATCAGAGATGGGTACGTTGATATTCTAGGACATGTTGATATTAAGAATGAGGTGGTGTTGGGTGTCTTGGAAAACATTAGGGTAAGTAAGTCCCCAGGACCTGATGGGACCTATCCCAGAATAATGAAGGAGGCAAGGGAGGAGATGGTCGGGGCCTTGATAGAGATCTTTGTATCCCTTTTAGCCACAGGCAAGGTCCCAGAAGACTGGAGAATAGCCAATATCATTCCCTTGTTTAAGAAGGGTAACAGGGATAAACTAGGAAATTACAGGCCAGTGAGCCTTACAATAGTGGTAAGGAAATTATTGGAGAAGATTCTTAGGGACAGGATTTATTCGCACTTGGAAAAGAATGGACTTATTAGGGTTAGTCAGCATGGTTTTGTGTGGGGGAGGGTCTTGTCTCATCAATTTGAGTTTTTTTGAGGAAGTGACGAAGATGATTGATGAGGGTAGGACAGTGGATGTTGTCTGCATGGACTTTACTAAAGCAATTGACAAGGTCCGTCATGGTAAGCTGGTCAGATAATTAAAGTAGTGTGGAATCCATGGGGAGTTGGAAAGTTGGATACAAAACTGGTTTGATCATAGAAAAGAGAAGGTAGTTGAGAAGGGTGTTTTTCTGACCGGAAGTCAGTGACAAGTGGTGTTCCACAAGAATCAGTGCTAAGACCTCTGTTGTTTGTAATATGTATAAATGACTTAGATGAAAACGTGGGTGATCTGATTAGAAATTTTGCAGACAACTTGAAAGTTGGTGGAGTTATGGATAGTGAGGAAGATTGTCAAAGGATGCAGCAAGAGAGAGATAAGTTGAAAAGTTGAGCAGAGAAATGACAGATAGAGTTTAACCAGACAAGTGTGAGGTGAGACAATTTGAAAGGTCAAATGCAAGAGGAAAGTATTTAGTTAATGGCAGGTCCCTTCGGAGCAATGATACACAGAAGGATCTTGGGGTCCAAGTCCGTAGTTCCCTGAAAGTGCCAACACAAGTGGATAAGGTGGTAAAGGAGGTATATGGCATGTCTGCCTTCATTGGTCAAAGCATTGAATATGAAAGTTGGCAAGTCATGGATTGTCAAAGTATTTTTCCCAGGATGGAAGTGTCAAATACCAGGGGCATAGATTAATATGAGAGGGGAACGGTTTAAAGGAGATATGCAAGGCAAGTTTTTTTTTAAAACATAGAGTGGTTGGTGCCTGGAACACGCAGCCAGGGGAGGCGGTAGAAGTCAATAGGATAGCCATGTTGAAAAGGTATTTAGACGGACACATGGTCAGGAAGGGAATAAAGGGGTACAGGCCATGTGCAGGCAGCTGGGATTCATTTAGAATGCCAGCATGGTTGGCACAGACATGGTGGGCTGAAGGGTCTGTCCCTGTGCTGTACTGTTCTATGCTGTATGGGAGAGCCTAGAACTAAAAGAGATAGTTTTAAACTAACCGGTCATCCGTTTAACACAGAGATGAGGAGAACTTTTTTTCTCTGAGACGTTGTGAAACTTTGAAACTCTTTTCCCAAACAGCCGAGGAGGCAGGGTCATTGAATATTTTTAAGGCTGAGGCAGTTTGATTCTGGGTGGAAATGTAGAGGTGAGACCACAGTCAGATCAGCAATGATCTAATCAAATGGTTGAGTAAGCTTGAGGGCTGAATGGCCTACTGCTGCACCTAGCTTGTCTGTTTGTACTGGAACCATGTTTTTTCTGACTGAAAGCACCATTTATGGCAAAGACAGCCAGTGTGGAGACAGAAACAATGTCAACATTTCATCAGTCACTAGATTGAAACTTTAACTTTACTCTGCAGCATCTGCGAAGAAACATTTTCAGCACCTTCTGATTTTATGGCAGATTGCCAGAAACCTGTGTTAAAGTAGTGGCTAATATGATCACACAGTGTGGAGCTGGAGGAACACTGCAGGTCTGGCAGCATCAGAGGAGCAGAAAAGCTGACGTTTCGGGTCGGGACTCTTCTTCAGAATGACCAATCCCCACCTCTCCCTACCTACACTCACCTATCACCATCCCACCTACCTTCTCCAGCCCCACCCCTCTTCTCAATTTCTGAAGAAGGGTCCCAACCCGAAACGTCAGCTTTCCTGCTCCTCTGATGCTGCTTGACCTGCTGTGTTCATCCAGCTCCACACTGTGTTATCTCTGACTCCAGCACCCGCAGTTCTTGCTATCTCCGGCTAAGATGATCAGTTTGATTTATATTGACATTATTTATTTTAAGGCAAGGAAGGGAATGCATCAGAAAAGGTAAAATACAAAATTAGCAACTAAATGAAATTCAGATAAATAACTGAAGTAACACTAATCATTCCTGGTCAGATAGAAGATTCACTGAGAAAATTGCAACACTTCTAATTCATGAGCATAGAGACTGTATGATTTGGATGTATTCTGTAAATTATACAAATGTAAATTATAAAATCATTTAAGTTGTACAACACTGACTTTTCCTTGGTATTAAAGAAAGTTAACTCACCCAAGTCTGTTGATCTGCAGGAACATCATTGCCAGACTTGATTCTTTGTGAATGCTTACCCTGTGCATTAACATAGCATTTTTCACAATATCCACTGTACACTGGATTGGCAAGCATGCTACACTCAGCTTTAGAACAAACTGACATGTTTTTAAGGTGGGATGAAATCTGAGCAAGGTTCTCATTGGGAGCAGTTGGAGAATGATTGACTTGCTGGTTTGGATCCTGCTCAGCAGATGCTCCTAGGAAGAAAGACATTATCATAAATCTGATTGTTAATTGTACTGACCCACAAAATGTGTCAGCAAAGGCACAGGATACTTTTTTTTAAATAAATCAGTGTTTCTGTGCAAAACAGAGCTGAGTTTGGAGATTGAAATGTGGACTGACAGTACTTGCCCATGTACACATTGGTATATTAAATGGCATGGGTGCAAAGGGATGGCGGTGAATTCTGGGATATCCCAGCAGGACTGAGTTGTTCTGGTAACAGCAGGCTGTAAAATGGTGACTGGGACACTGTAGGGGCAACATGGGGTAATTAATGAGGTTGGTTTGGTGAGATACAGTGACAGGCCTCACAGAGAGAGGCTCTCCATAAAACTTGACCCAACTGCCACTCTGCCAAAAAGACAAGATTCAGCCAAAAGCTTTTTCTCTGTGGATTTAGGGAAATGCAGCTGAACACGTGATTGAGTGGGAAAATGTAGATGTTACTTTAAATACATTGGGATATCGTGTTGAGCACCAGCAATATACACACACACACACACACACAGAAACACACAGAAACACACAGAAACTGTTTTCAGTCAAATTCTCACTGGATTAAAGTGCTCTTCACACCTCTAATCCAACAACAATACTATGCAGCAACTGGAAACCAGGAATCAGAAACACTGGCTTTGTTCAAACTGTACTTCACAACAAAATGTTGTTTCTATTTTAAGGGAAGGGCTATGTTCCCTTTTCTGTGTCCTTTATACATTTCAATATTTTTATGCCCCAAGTCAGTACAGTTTACACACCAGTATTGCTACCAGAAAGCTAACTCGCATTTTTGTATTTTTTCATATTTACAGGTTTGTTTTTTACTGGGTTTAATTTTAAGAATCAGCCCGAAAAAGTTTCACATTCTATCAAAATGGAAAACATCTGAATCTCCCATTGTCCAAAACTGGGAAAGGAACAAAACTTCCCGAGATAACCCCTTCCACAAGGGACCTTCTTTAACCAAGAAGGGACTGTAATTATAATTGGCTATTTTCATATGACTGTTTTGTACTTGCATGTATTTTTTCCTCTTTAAATATATCACTTCTGTCTAGCTTGGGATTTCCAGTCAGGAACTGTATACCTGAGGTTAGTTTCTGCCTTAAAACATCTCCTGTCACCATAATTATATTTTGCAACTTTTGAATTTCCCTTTAGAATCTTTTGCTTTTATCATCCTTGGGCTATTTTCCTTCAAGTCATCTGCAATAATTTTGAAAAAGCCAGGGAGGTCTTTACTGCAGATCCCTTGGGATCAGTCAGTAGTACTTCCTCCTGGTGGTGGTGAGCTAACAGACTGAGACATAGAACGCAGTGGGTGAGCTAAACTGGTTGGGGGGAGACCTGTGTCCCTCAGTGACAGGAATCCCACCCTCTGGAACTGCTTAAGGATCTGGATGTTGGGGTTGTGGATAGGGTGGATTTGCTCACCTTTGGAGGGGGTGGGGTTGGTGAATGGCTTTTCAATTATATTCAGGAGAGGAGGAGGTCAGTGGTCCATCTTCTCAGGGGGTGCCCTGAGGGGGCAAAGATTTATGCTTCCTGTATTACTAAAATTATTATTAAAAACAGGGGGAGGCAATGGCCTAGTGGGTATTATCATTGGACTAAGTCAAAAACCCAGGAATGTTCAGGGGACCTGGGTTCGAATCCTGCCATGCAGATGATGGAATTTCAATACAATTAAAAAATCTGGAATTAAGAATCTGATGTTGACCATGATTGTCAGGAAAAACCCATCTGTTTCACTAATGTCCTTTCGGGAAAGAAACTGGCAACATGTTGACTCCAGACCCATAGCAATGTGGTTGATTCTCAACTGCCCTCTGGACAATTAGGGATGGGCAATAAATGCTGGCTTGGCCAGTGATACCCTCATCCTGTGAATGAATAAAAAGACTGGGCTGCCACTCCCCCCTCACCAACTGTTTGATAGCAATGGGCAGGGGTAATACTGGGGTATTTCAACTAAGCCTAACTCTGAGGCAGCTTCTAACAAGATCAATTGGGGATGGCCATGAATTATTTATCGACGTGTGAGGGCAGTGCTGCTTGTTTTGGTGCCCTCCCATTCTCTGTCGGATGAAGTTGGCAGAGGGTGCTGGAGCACTTGCCCTACCTAATGCCCTCTCTCTGCCACAACTCATACTCAAGTGACAGGGGCATGTCACATCAGGTCCAGACAACTACAGTCACTACGAACAGATCATCAAGTTTCTTTCCACAACTGGAAGTTATTTTCACTGAAATCCCCGAGCATGAGTACTGAGCTCCTGCTCCCCCATATCCCCAGTGGATCAGAATAATGTAGTATAACTGTGTTGAGGATTAAACCATTAAACATCCCAGTGTAGGCCATGTCATGAATGTTAAATAACTGGGGTAGCAGGGAGGCGTAGCATGTTCCCCAATATTTCCTCGGGAATCTCTGTTATGTAAATAACCAACTTGAAAAAAGAATGATGCCAATTGCAGACATTTCCTGCTATGACCAAGAGGATGTTTGAGGAGAAATGTTTGCAAAGGAAACTTCTGACCATCGGAACTCTTTCCAGATAAGTCAGTCTTGGTTATTAGTTTTATTAATCAAAAAGAATACTGTGTACAATTGTCTTGAGGAAGACATTCCTGGAAGGCCATATCCAGTGAAATATTGTCTTCTGTATGTACAGCCAGTAGGTGAAGCTAGTCCTATATAAGAGTGTGTGGATAGGTCAAACTGGAGGTTCCAGACAGCATCTCACACAATGTTGAAACATTAGAAAAAGGGCAGCAACAATTTTGAGTTCATTTTTAAATGGTCTAAGAAGAAAATGTAAATAATGCTAAAAGGAGATAAGACGTTGAAACTTTCTGTTTTGCACTCATCAGTACCAGGAGCAAGAAACAAACTTGAAAATAGAGACAAATTTATACAGAATGAGAAGAGAGTGCTGATTGGTTGGCGATTCAGTAATCAGTTAACTGTCAATCTTAACCCCGATTGGTCAGGCTGTTGCCATGGGGATAGAACAGAGTTTGGCTTTCTCCATGATCTCATTTTTGGAGAAAGATACAATGCAGATGTATGTCCAAATTCCTTTTGCCTGCATAGGTCAGGGTCCAGTCATTTTTTTTTAAAGTAGCTTCTAGCTTGGACAAATATACTTCAAACCTGGCTAATAATCTTCAGATGGTTTTCAGTGTAACTTGGCACATTCTGGATTATTTAATGAGTGGTTTCCAATTGCAGATACACACAAACTGGTGGATATGCTTTCCTGGGGCTTGCAGGTTTGGCACAAATGGCCTGCTGCACACTGCAAATGGTCAATTGTACGTGTTATTTTGTACAATCCGCCAGGTGATAGGATGTACAACCTACAGACCTGGCATCACACTGGCACTGAAACTCACATCACATGTGGTGGGCAGAATGGTTTGTTTGACTTGATGGCAACATCCTGTTAAAGGAGTCAACCACTCATGGGTTTACTGCATTGTAACAGCATGGGACATCTAGCTTCATCTGTTTTCTTTCTTTCTCAGTGACACTGAAGGAACAGCGATATATTTTCAAGTTAGGAATGTGCGTGGCTTGGAAAGGAATTTGTAGGCAATGGTGTTCCCATATATCTGCTAACCTCATCCTTCTAGATGTAAGTGGTTGTGGGTTTGGAAGGTGCTGACTGAGAAAATAGTTCAAGTTTTTGAGAGGCCCTCCTATTCCAGGGTAATCAGAGGTAGACAGGACATTGTTCAGGGCCAAATTGATGGATGTAGCTCTTTCATGAGTTTTCACGATATACAGAGAGTGACAATTCAATCAGGTTATCTATTATTACACAGGATAATTTCTATATGTCCTATTGCAGTGTCAAGCTTACACTGATCAGACGTCTAGTGCTCTACTCTACAGGCTGACCTTGTAGTTCATGGGACTTTAGGAATCTCAATGTATACATGGACCTGTGAATATAGATAGTAGTTAAGAAAAAATTTCCCGACTTCTGATTTTCTGATGTCCAAAGATGTACAGGTTAGATGGATTGGCCACGGTAAATGTGGGTTACAGGGGTAGGATGGAGGCCTGGGTCTGGGTGGGCTGCTCTTCGGAGGGTCAGGGAAGGCTGGATGGGCTGAAAGGTCTCTTTCCACATTGTTGAGATTCTATGATTCTCAACTAACACACCGAGGAAGGGAAGCTCATTTGATTACACCATTTCAATAGTAAATTCAAACATGGCTGGAGTTTATTAAACTGCATAAAGAAAGGGAGACAACAAGGTGCAGGGCTGGATGAACACAGCAGGCCAAGCAGCATCATAGGAGCAGAGAGGCTGACGTTTCGCCCTAGACCCCACTGCATAAAGAAAGGGTTAGGATTAAGCTCCAACTTCGAGTTTCCTTTTAACAATCTCTATGTTCTGTCTAATCTAGAATAATTTTAAGGGAAAAAATGGACTTTGCTGTCTTTAAGGTAAATGTAACAGAATTATATTGTGGATCTCCCCATGTTAATGGGAGACTGGGTTTCCTGATGGAGATTAACTCTTTCATGTTCAGTGGAGAAGGGGAGGTACAAGATGGGAGGTCAGTCCAGGCAGAGATGGAGGACTGAAGTCTGAAGAGTAACAAAGATATGGGTGGGAGTTTCAACAGTTGTTGGGCTGAGAGGGGTGCATGTGCAAGTGAGGAGTAGGATTGGGCAATTTAAGAATATTGCAAGGAAATTGACCTCTCAAATGTTAATGTTGATCTCTCTCTCTCTCTCTGCACCTTCTCTGTGGCAGTAACATTGTATGCCACACTGTTCTGCTACTTTGCTGCACTCTGTATTCTAAAGGCTGCCTGTATAGAAATGCAAAACAACAATTTTCACTGTGTCTGGGTACATGTGACAACAATAAATCAAACCCAAACTTAAATAATTATCTAAAAACCTATAGTCAGATTTCTGCACTTTGTGACCCCATAGCCTCAGCTGCTGTGTGTAATGCAGTTAAAATTGAACTGTTGATCTCCAATACAAACAGGCAGATACCTGGGAAAAAAAAAATCAGGCCATGGTGTTTATAACTTCCAGAAGCATGCTTAACGAATGCTAAACTACTTACCAATTTCTTCCACATATCTAAAGAAACATGCAGTACAGAATCCATTCTGTTCTTCAGTCCCAAAGTACTGGCAGTTTGGATTTCTGCATTTTGCAGATTCATTCAGCTGACTGAACTTCTGTCTCTGTTCCTGGTGAAGGAGTGGTCCATACCTGCTACTCTTGGCCGTGGCAGCTTGCGGTGACCCTAAAGGAATTTGCTTGGTTCTGGTCTGTGACTTTGAGAGTGAATCCCTCATCTCTGAGCAAGAGAAACACAAACCATTGAATGTCCTTATCACTTGTTTGCAACTGTTGCAACTTTCTCCCCACAAATCCATCCCTTGCTCCACAAATTCATCTGCCACTTTTGGAAAATGTGGATCAGAGTTACTGCCATCCTCTGGAATGTGGCCACTTCTTCCTTGGAAGCAACTTGGGCAAAATCCATTCATTATTCCATTTCCAGTGAATGGACAATGAGATGTTTTGCATTTGAGGGCATTGGTCTTACTGCAGATGTGATTATTGGATGATGATGGTGGTGCTGCTTTTGGGGGAGTTGATGGGGTTTTCCTGCTGTCTTGCAATCCAAAGATTGTTGGACTTTCGGACTCTAACTCCTTCACATCGTCTCCTTGGACACCACTTTGTTTACAATTGTTGGCCCCCAAAGAGACATCTTCTTTTTGGAAGGCATCATGACATGTGTGACAGAATGGCTTTGTGAATTTTGAGCAAAAGTATGTGCATCCAGGAGTTAAACATTTGTCTCCCACAATAGACAGATTGGAGAGAAAAGCAAGTTCATCTTCATTTCTCCCACTTCTTTCTTTGTCTGTGTTTTGCTGCCAGAATTTGTACTGGTGATTAACCAGCTGGAAATAATCTTGAACCAAGTTAAGATCGTCAGGCAAAGGATTAATATACAACCTGCAAAGAGAAACAAAGCTACATTTATTTAAAATCCAACATTACTGCTTGGAAAGATATAGTTTTCATGAAATGTTTTTCAATTGGAAGATAAGACAATTGAATTTAGCCTACTTTGTAGGAGCAAGGAGCCTGAAATGAAAAGGCCAGAGTGTGCTCGATCATAGATGCAACAATATCCTAGTGAATCTCTCGGATTTCAAAATTTATTGTGTTAGTTGCAGTATGAGATTGGAGAGAGATTTATTGGTACTTCTTGGGGCAGAGAGGCAAAGTTTTTTTTAAAAATGTTAGCAAATTAATACTCAATTGCATTTAATGAAGAGTGCATGAGGACAAGCCAGCAGCACCACGGACATACCAAAACTGAGTTGACACCCTGGTCAAGCAACAAAACAGGACAACAGCATGCAGCAAACAGGCCCAAGTGCTTCCTCAACCAATGGATCAAATCTAACCCCTGAGCACCAGGATTGCCCCATCTCATTATAAGTGATGGTGGGCAATTAAACAACTCTCTGGATGTGCTGGTCAGAGACTACATCTAGATTACTGTGAGCAAGTTTCGTCCCCTTATTTACAGAATGATATTCTTTTATTTGGAGTGGGGAGACCCGGAGCAGCTGAGTGTTCGCAGACCAAGGGATGGACTTTGTGCCTCTGTTTTTCTGACAGACAGAACACATGGCAGAGGCTGAGGAGTGATCTGGTCGTTTCCTTTTCTTTTGGCTGTTTCTTTCATTTCTGCTTCTGTTTTAATCTTGAGATGGCACCGGAGAATGGTGGTATACTTTTCACTGTATTCCTGTTCTCAAGTACACATGACAATAAAATCTACAATCTACACAAAAACCACTGACAAAGTTCAGAGAAAGTTCACTCGGATGAACCCCAGCAGGAGAGTTTGTCTTATGAGCAAAGGTTAAACAGGTTTAGAAAACTGAAACGTGGTTTCGTTTAAGGATCCTGTACGTTTAAGAGGCATGACAGGGTGAATACTGAGGGGATGTTTCTGCTCATGGGAGAATCTAGGACCAGAGGGCATAGTCTCAGAATAAAGGGGCACCAATTTAAGACTGAGATGAAGAGGAATTTATTCTCTCAAAGGGTTGAGTGTCTTTGGAACTCCTTGCCTCAGAGAGCAGTGAGGGTAGAGTTCTTGTGTATATTGAAGACGGAGATAGTTTCTTAATCAGTCAGGAATCAAGGTTTGCAGGGAAATGGAAGGAAGGACAAGTCTCGGATCAGCCATGACCCTATTGCATAGTGGAGCAGGCTCGAGGGGCCGAATGGCCTATTTCTGTTCCTATTTCTTATGGAGGAGCAGGAAGCTCCACAAATATCCATATCCTGAATGATGGGAGACCCCAGCACATCAGTACAAACGATAAGGTTCATATACTGGAACTGCCATCAGCTGGGCTCATAGTAATCAATCAAATCAATCCAACAAAGGTATGTTTAAGGCTCCATTGATAACATCAACCTGTTCTTTCTTAAGCTTTGAAGAATGGGGAATTTCAAAAGATTTAGATCATAACATAAAGACCTTACCCACCCTTCAGGATTGTTTATATCTATTTCATTGATATGTGAGCCCCACATTGAGTAAAAAACCCAAGCAACCCACAACATGGGCTCAGTTTGAATTCAGTGTTGAATTCAATTGGCTCTGTGTAGTTTCTTTCTGTGATTATACTCCACCCTCGTTCCCCTTTTGGATTGATCCGAGCCAGGGGCGTGCGTTCTGATCCAGCTCCAGCTAGCTTTAAAAATCATGATGTGGAGGTGGTGGTATTGGACTGGGGTGGACACGGTCAAAAGTCACACGACACCAGGTTATAGTCCAACAGGTTTATTTGAAAACACAAGCTTTCTGAGCTCTGCTCCACCCTCAGGTGTAGTGTGGAAGAGGAGTTATACTGACAAAGAATTTATAAGCAGGAAGGTAACAACCTTAAAAATGGCTCGCTGACCACCTCTAGGTTTCTATTGATCAAAATGCAAATCCCAGAGTTTCTTTCAAGTCATTGCCCCGAGATAATTAAAGTTTTCAATCAATGTCTACAAGAGGTGACATCACAGGTCAGATAATGCATTTTAGGTGTGAGACCTTGTTTAGAACCTGACTGTGTTTGAACCTGGAGTCAGACTTTATTTCTAAACAAAATAGAATGTATCTGCAAAAATACAAACATCTTGGATGAAATAATTCACCCCATAGATTTATATATATATGTGTGGTGTGAGTCTGTGTGTGAGAGAGACTGTGTGTGCGCGTGCGTGTGTGTGCGAGAGAGAGAGTGAGGGAGTGTGTGTGTGTGCAAGAGACAGAGTGTGGAGCCTGACTCCAGGTTAAAACACTGGCAGATTCTAAACAAGACCTCACACTTAAAATGCATTGTCTAACCTGAAATGTCACCTCTTGTACGCACTGATAAAAATTTTAATTATCTTGAGGCAATAACTTGAAAGAAATTCTGGGACAAACCCGACCTGGCCAATTACCACCCCATCAGTCTCCTCTCAATCATCAGTAAAGTGATGGAAGGTGTCAGTAATAGTGCTATCAAGCAGCACCTGCTCAGCAATAACCTGCTCAGTGACGCCCAGTTTGGGTTCCGCCAGGGCCACTCAGCTCCTGACCTCATTACAGCCTTGGTTCAAACATGGACAAAAGAGCTGAATCCCAGAGGTGAGGTGAGGTGAGATGAGAGTGACAGTCCTTGATATCAAGGCTACATTCGACCGAGTGTGGCATCAAGGAGCCTGAGCAAAACTGTGATCAATGGGTATCAGGAGGCAAACTCTCTGTTGGTTGGAGTCATACCTGACACATAGGAAGATAGTCGTGGTTGTTGGAGATCAGTCATCTCAGCGTCAGGACATCTCTGTAGGAGTTTCTCAGGATACTGTCCTACGCCCAACCATCTTCAGCTGCTTCATCAATGACCTTCCCTCTATCATAAGGTCAGAAGTGGGGACGTTCGCCGATGATTGCACAAAGTTCAGCACCATTCGTGACTCCTCAGATACTGAAGCAGTCCTTGTTCAAATGCAACAAGATCTGGACAATATCCAGGCTTGGGCTGACAAGTGGCAAGTGACATTCGCACCACACAAATGCCAGGCAATGACCATCACCAATAAGAGACAATCTAACCACCGCCCCTTGACATTCAATGGTGTTACCATCACTGAATCCCCCACTATCAACATCCTGGGGGTTATCATTGACCAGAAACTTAACTGGACTCATCACATTAACATAATGGCTACAAGAGCAGGTCAGAAGCTAGGAATACTGAGGCAAGTAACTCACCTCCTGACTCCTCAAAGCCTGTCCACCATCTACAAGGCACAAGTCAGGAGTGTGATGGAATACTCCCCATTTGCCTGGATGGGTGCAGCTCCAACAACACTCAAGAAGCTTGACACCATCCAGGACAAAGCAGCCCGCTTGATTGGCACCACATCCACAAGTATCCACTCCCTCCACCACCGACGCTCAGTAGCAGCAGTGTGTATTATCTACAAGATACACTGCAGAAATTCACCAAAGATCCTCAGACAGCACTTTCCAAACCCACGACCACTTCCATCTAGAAGGACAAGGGCAGCAGATACATGGGAACACCACCACCTCCAAGTTCCCCTCCAAGTCACTCACCATCCTGACTTAGAACATAGAACATAGAACATTACAGCGCAGTACAGGCCCTTCGGC